AATCCTCACAGCTGTAAAATTTGTTTATTTTTAAGGTAACTTTTCCAAGCAAATGAATAAAAAATAAACACGTTTTAAAGTTGTAATATTCTACAATATAATAAATAAACAATTTGGAGATTATTCTAAAATATATAACCAAAAATAAAGCAGTTTATTTGTTACTTAATGAAAGGAACACAATATGCTAACAGTAAGTAGCCTAAATATTAAACTACATTGTCACTACTCCAGCTGTTTCTGCATCTGTTTGTGGGTAGACGTACCAGCATCTGGTTTATGTTTTGAGTGAAAGAGAATAATAAAAAAAATAATAAAAATCTGGAATAACTTATAGGAAATCGTGTGATTTACACAGACATTTATAAGCAACACGTCAATGAAAATATGCCGTTTTTTCTTCTTTCGCTGGACCGTAATTGGGAATACATGGCTCTAAAATATATCTCTAAACACGTGTTTACAATTTTCTTTTGTCAGCTCTGGGGATTTACCCGAGCATCATAATCATGTGATCAAATTCAACTGTGATTTACCAACTTGATCGCACGCACTTGGACTCAGAGATGTCACAGGGTGCAACAGAGAGAGAGAAAAAAAATACTATGCAGAAAGTAATTGCAGATGAAGAACTGAAACCCAACAGCCCTGAAGGGAGGTGGGGTGTATTGATGTCCACTTTCCATTCCTTGTAATACAGAACAAAAGTGCTAAACAAGCCTTTTCCGTCTCTCCTGGCATTTTTAAGGGGCTCTCAAGCAAACGGTCACTGACAAAATGCAATGAGACAAAGATATTCCCCCAAGACAAGGAAAATCGTCCTCTTTTCCCCTACAATCTTGATGAAGTAAATGAAAAGAAACAGATTCCATTGTGTAACCATCCAAACTATGAGAGCACAGCTAAAGTGCAGTTTTGGCAAGAGAGCGCTGTGGTCAAAATGCTAACAAAAGCATCTGATGGGATTTTTTTTTCTTCCCTTTTGGTTCCTCCCTTCCATTCTCTTTGAATTTATTTAGATTTTTCACTGGTCTAAGAGAATATCACCCAAAATTTTCTCTTGGCTTCAAATTTGTATAGGGATATGCCCCTTATTTACAAGTGGCCTAGAACATGGATTTGAATAGAATATTTAAATTATCAGCACAAGATGTCCACCAATCTTTTGGCTATAGTACATGGACATAGCTGGAAAAAAACTTAATATATTAATCAAGAAAGGATTAGCATTTCATTTACAAGGGAAAACTGTGCTACTCATGAAGATTTTACACAGGTAGTCAAATGCAATTGTATTCTTATAATGCATCAATTAACCCCAAATAGCCACATTTGTTTAATCAAACTCTATTTCAGATTCAAAGGTTGCCTAAGCTGGAGGTTGGACCCAAAGAAATGCACATAACAAGGTCTTGCACATCATCAAAAAGGTCAACTGCAACCATATAGCACGGTTCAGACTAAAATCCAAAGCGACACACAAAGCCAGATTAATAATATGAATAAGGTCTAAACTGTACGGCATTCTGAAAGTTTCCATCCCATCAGCAAAACCCGAGCTCCACTGCAACCATCAAACACAAACAGAAGCAGGAAATCTGAATAAGGCTGTGCACTTTGATCTCTGCACTAGCGAAAGAAACAGACTCATAAACATGTCCACCCTTTGAAGCTTATGATACCGCACAGCTAATGCTTCACCTTCTGTCCAATCTTCCCTGCCTAGAGCAAACAAGCTCTTATTTGCAGAGAGCATCTTTACAAGAAATAGTCCATTTGTTTGCTTTCCTTCATCAATCAGCTCCCATCACCCAACAGATTTTGACTTGCTGATGTTTCCCATTATGAAAGAAAGCATGTGTTGTTTTTTTTACATGTCTTCTCGATGTATTTATGTATGTTTATGTATATACTTTTTGCACAGGACCGATTACAGGTAAGCTCCTCTACTCATTAGGTTGCCTGTGACATGAGACCACAACGCACTTTTACCATCTACCACTAGAGGGAGCAGAATTTCTTTCAGAATGGTGTATGGATGGGAGTTGATAATTGAGTCGTTTGCAAGATCCAGTGTTGCCAGACGTACAATAATTATCGTATTTGTACGATAGTTTTGACCTCTGTACGATTTGCGATCAATAATGAAAAAAATCCCCTACAAAGGTCATTGTAATCATAGTTCTTCTATTTTCATTGATCTAGCTGTGGATCTACGTCATGATTGTGAGGAGAAAGTGAAGGTGAGAGAACACGGCAGAGAGGGAGAGAGCGAGAGACCTTGCGTGTGAGCCTCATGAAAGCTACTCCCCCCGTCAACAATCCGGTCATCCATCCACATTTTTTTGTCATGATATAGTTATTAAATGGCTAGTCCACCCAAAAATGAAAATTCTGTCATCACTTACCTTCATAACATACCAAAGCTTTATGACGTTTTTGTTCTGTGGAACAAAAAAAAAAAAATCTTTTTTAGCCATACAGTGAATATCAGAAGGGTTCAATATTGCTTGAACAGCATTGGCTTTCAAATTATCCTATTTTGCTGGTGCTGGTAAACAATCTTGGACCAACAACAAACCAGCTAACATTAGTCAAGATGTTTTTTTTTTTTTTTTTTACCACATAGTCAACTAGCTACTTAATGACCAGCTAGAATCCATACCATCTTAAGCTGGATTTTCCAAAAGAGACCATATCAACATGTCAGATAATTGGTTATTTGTTTACAGTAAAGATGACTGTTAGACGAGTCATCAATATTAAAGGGTTAGTTCACTCAAAAATGAAAATTCTGTCAGTAATTACTCGCCCTCATGTTGTTCCAAGTCCAACCCCGTAAGACTTTAATTTATCTTCGGAACACAAATTAAGATATTTTTGATTAAATCTGAGAGCTGTCTCACTCCTCCACAGGCTTCTATTGTAATTTAAACTTGCTAGCCCAGAAAGTTAGTAAAAACATCGTTAAAATAGTCCAAGTGACTACAGTGGCTCTTATATCCCTTTTCCACCAAGTCAGTGCTGCTTTTAGAGCCAGAGCCTAGTTTCAAATTGGTTCTTTGTTTTTCGACACCAAAGCACCAGCTCTGAAGCAGTAAAAGTGGGTCTTGAGTAGCACCAAAACTTCTACCTTGGCTAGAAGTAAGAACAACTTGAGTCAGGGGCTGGGGGCAGGGTTACCGTGACCAACAAGACGAACAGAGACTAGTGAACGCCATTTTTTAAACAGCAGCTAATAGTAGCTTGATTGTAATCTCCGTATGCAAGTTACGACGAGCTGCACGAATTCGTTGGATTTGCCATGTTTGGATGCCGATGTATGTTTGCAAAGCCATGAGCATCAATACTAGTAACCGCATTTGTTAATGGGTTGTTCGAGATACATTGGAGCAGAACGACTGATCGGAGCTGAGGGAGTGTTTGAAGAGCAAACGATGTCATGCGTGATCGGGCTGCGAGAAGCTGATGCATCTCGAACAAGCCTGATGTGTTTTTTGGCGCTGCCGCGCTAGTGTTGCTGGGCAACATGAGATGTACAGTATAGAGTCCTCTTTCTTGGGGTGTTGTGAGGGTACAATGAGGACTGAAGGTGCCCACTTCAAGACCCTAGAGATGTCCCCTACTCGGCTCAACGCAGACAGTTGTCGTGCTGGTCCACTGGGGAGACCACACTGTAGTTGCAGCCGTCGTGTGTTGACGCGCCAAGTAAGTTACATTGCAGCTGTTAACGTCAGACAGAAAGAAATTCACATCACCATATGGAAGGAAGCGTGAATGGATGGAGAAGCATAGGTTACTGTAAAGCTACGTCTTAGTTTGTGCTTTTCTTGGCGAAAGCCGAGTACAAATCTTGTACAAACATCAACTCTCGTCTAATGGAAATCAGTGACGTAAGATCTGGCTCTGTGGTGGCTCTCTGGTCTGTAGAAAGGCAAACCGGTTCTTAAAGCTCGTTGGTCGAACCAACTCCGAACTGGCAATAGGTCTGGCTCTGAACTATCACCCAGAGGCGCACTGTTACACTACGTGAACTCACCCAGAGGCCCACACAGAAGAAAATGAATAGTTGAATAAAGTCATTATTTTTGGTTTTTATGCGCACAGAAAGTATTCTCGTCGCTTGATAAACTTAAGGTTGAGCAACTAGTCACTTGGACTACAATGTTTTTACTAACTTTCTGAGCAGGCAAGTTTCAATTACAATAGAAGCCATGTGGAGGAGTGAGACAGCTCTCAGATTTAATCAAAAATATATTAATTTGTGTTCGGAAGATGAACTAAAGTCTTACGGAGTTGGAACAACATGAGGGTGAGTATACTGACAGAATTTTCATTTTTAGGTGAACTAACCCTTTAATGTACTTTCTTGTCAGACAAGTTCCGTCTAAGCAATAGACTTGTTTTGGCATCCCTAGCAATGTATTAACCAATTATCATCAAAAAACTTAATGTGATAGGCAGCTAACGGTGTTATAAAGCGATAAATAATACTTATGCTTTGTTTGTCGATATATCGTCCGATTTGAATCCTACGGAAAGCGCTAGGGCGACCTTCTGTTGCTATGTTAACTACCTCAGCCAAACGCTACTTATTCGTTGATGTTTGTTGGCTTCAAGTTAGGAAGCTAACTTACAAGTCTTAATTATTATCAGACCTTCTCGAACTCCCTCATAAACTCGCACCCATAGCATCTACTGACCCATGCCTGCCATCTACAGCGATGAGAGAAGCTGCATGCACCATTTACTGAATGGAATTGTTGTCTGCCAAAGGGGAACACATATTAGCCCTGAATTTTCACTTTCTTAAAAGATTTAAACAAGGTCTAGCTCGAGTGAACGTTATCATTTTTATTAAAAGAAATGGTTTCAAATCAGATCCCTACGCATGTCTCATCGAGCTCTTCGAAATTAAGCGCAATATATCACAAAAAGGCGGAGATGTCACTCAACCGTGCCCGTAAAGGTGGGCGGACTGGAGTGTCCCCCCCTCTGCCAATGGCAAAGCACCGATACAAGACCCGAAATCCCTAAAATCAGCCGTCAGCCCGCGACGGGGAGCACACTCAGTCTGAATTAGCCCCTATCACGCAGGAGATGACGGATCGTGTCTCCCCGCCCGCAGCTCACGCACGGACCGCGGCGCGCCGAGCAGCAGCAGCGTAAAGTCACGACAAAACTTCAGAAATTCGCTTTCTCCACGCGCTCTCTTCAATGTCACCATGCGCAGCATCGCATCCTGCGGTGCATTGCTGTCAGTCTACTACCCCCAGATCTTCCTCATCCTCACCAGCGGCAGCTACCTGTAGGTTTGAACAACTGATTTTGTTTTATTATTCTCACCTTTAAGATCCTGTGGCAACGCAGTCAACAGCTGGGGACAGTTAAAGCGAAGTTGAAGAGGTCTGTCAGTCGTTATTGCATTGCAAAATTAGACGGTCATATGAATTTAAGAGGGCAAACAAATCATGATTTGCATGTGTTGGAATTGGCATTATTTAGTGCACCTGCTGTGATACATGAAGAGACTGAGCATGTGCATGTGTTTTAATTGCATCTGAGTCACTGATAGTTCAAAGGAAAGTGTGCTTGAAGAACAATGCTGCTGATTGGATCGTTATATTGGAGTTATAGCCTATTATTTATTTAAACATACAGTGTATCAGAAACCATTTACTGGGATCTTGGTTAAGGTGAACCTTACTGCTTCTAGGCAAATTTACATATGTTTTAATGAAAAGCATGGCTAAGCATAACTACATTCCTACAATTCTGATCATCTTTCAAGCAGTTGTTTATTATTTTTGTTATCAGTTATGCACATTATGGATGAGTAGTTCTTTATTGCATTTGTCATGTGTGTTACACTGATAGTGTTTTGTGTTTGTGTAACATTGTGTCCTGCCAATACATACTTGATGAACTTTAATTTATTATGTGCCATCTGGTTTACCTTCTGCATTATTATGCTGTTTTTCTGTATGGGCTATATTTAAGATTAAATAGATTTTACAGATAAATTCTGGCAGCAAGTAATTTCTCAAATTAGCAGATTAAATAATAAAGATTATACATTGTTGTACAGCTATACCAATCATTATACCACTCAGATATATAGGCTATATTAGTCATGTGCCAGTAAACCAGTTAATTCACTCAGAATTGATGAGATTACCTTTCATTTGTTTGCTATGAGCTCAAGGACAATGTTTTACTCATTACAACATCATGTTCTGATCTCAAATGCTTGTAATTGTAAAACCGCATTTGGAAAAAAAAAAACAGGGTGAGATGTGTCTCGCTGGAAAATACTGAACCTTTTATTTGCACTAAAGTTCATCCAGTGGAGAAATTACTGAGCCACACATTTCAAAACGTATGTGTGGTTCATAAGTGTACTTTAAATAGATCCCAGTCACAGTTTCAGAAGTAGTCACTACAAAGTTACAATTCGTATTATGTTCTCTGATTCCCTGTTAACTTCCTTAATTTAACTTGGTGGCCTATTGACTATTTAGAGCCTAAAATATACATAATTTTTCGTGGATTTTCCTCAAACCAGACCTATGTAACGTAACTTGAAAAATAATAAATGTCACAACGTGTAAAACAAAAAAAATGCTTTTGATAAAAGAGATATGCTGCATGCCATTAAAAATTATTGAAGGGAATGAAGTTTCTCTGTATTCAGATGTTATTAAATAATATTCTTGTTACGAGAACAGTCGGGTCTGCTCTAAAATAGGACTTCATTTCATCATCATTGGTCCTAGCATCTTCCACAGTGGCAGGAACAGTTTAATCCATTAAAACAGGTCAATATATTTGAGGATTATGTTCATCTGTGTAAAATATTAGTTAATTGACAAAATTTGTGGTGATCTTTGTTGAATAACAGCAGAACATAATGGCTTGATTTACAAGCGTAATCCACGTTATGCGTGTTATTTCACTTTAAATGTGCAGTACATCCTGTGATCGCATTGTTGTTTATGGTTTTTGTCTGTGAAGTTGCGTACGGTTGGCCTGTAACTTTTTAGACATTATTTGGGACCCCCCGTCTCATTTAAATCAAGTCCAGTTCCACGCTTGCTCATAAAAGCTGTGATTCATGAACTTTGATTTGTTTGTTGTTCTGTTTTAAATGAGATGCTCTTAAATTCTTTCATTATATTAAAGGCAAATCTTTCAAATGTTGATATTGAAAAATATGGAAACGTCTGTGAGGAAATTGCCTGGCAATCATGAGAAGGGTTTAAGCATTTGAAGGGTCTATAGATACATCTTCTAAAACACCAAACAATAGTTTTGTGCAGTCCACTGACAAAATGAAATGATGAATGTATAGTTCACTCATACATGAAAAGTTTGTCATCATTAACTCCCCCACATGTCGTATTCTCTTCCCTGAGACCAAAAACAAAAGATATTTTAAAGGCTGTTTTAACTGTTCATTAAATGAAAGTCAACGAGGTTTAAAACAGCATTTGGAACCCATTGATTTAAAACAAAAAAGCCCTGATATATTTGCCAAAATATCTTCTTTTGTGTTCCACAGAAGAAAGTCATACAGTGTGAAACGAGTAAATGATGACAGAACTTAAAATTTCGGGTGAACTGTCCATTTCTTGAATACCTGGTCTAAATGAGATGCTGACATCAATGTGTCTGGTCTCCGAAGGGCTTTGTCTTCAGTCGTGGCTTTGGGTGCGAACATCATCTGCAACAAGATTCCCGGCCTGGCCCCCCGACAGCGTGCCATCTGCCAGAGCCGCCCAGATGCCATCATCGTCATTGGAGAGGGCGCTCAGCTGGGCATCAACGAGTGCCAGTACCAGTTTCGCTACGGACGGTGGAACTGCTCTGCCCTTGGCGAGAGGACCGTCTTTGGGCAAGAGCTGAGAGTAGGTCAGTAGGTGCAGCCCCGTGAGCTGTGCTTTGAATTGTTTCCATGAGAGTGTGGCCCTGCAAAATAAAACGAGGTTAAAGTTGATACATTAGTTTTAAAAAAAATCTCTTTCAACCAAACATACGTTACACACACAAATGGCTTTGCGAGAACCTCAACTAGGAGAACATACAGTAATGTTTTTTTGTAATATTGCACCACCCCCATATAAATTGCCTATCAGTCAGAAATGTTTTGTTCCGGTCAGAGTGCGGTGTGGGGCTGTGTTTAATCCAATGGTCCTGGTAACAATCACTCTTTTGGGGGTTGGTTGGCTCTACTCAACATAATCTTATTTCTTTCGTTCAAGGAAATGTATGTTTCTCTGTTGTGGTGAGCTCTACACTGTGCGTTTGTGGGTCCTATGAAGCTTTTTTTTTTTGTTCTTTTGTCCAAATTGCGTTTGTGAGACCTAAAGAAATGTCATTTTATTGGATAACTCTAGCAGGAAAGTTGAGTTTAAAAGAGTTTTTAATATGCCTTAATAAGAGACCTCTATTAAGTCTGAATATGCAGACTTTTCTGCACTGAATTCGAGTGTAAAACTGATTTAAACATGGCTTTTACTGGCAGCTCAATGCATAACCGAATTAACTAAAATATTTAAAGATCCCCCGGTAGTCAATAATTTAATCCCTTAAAACTCATCAACAAAATGACATATTTAAGTTTTTATCCTTGAAAAATGTTTTATTCACGCCTTAAAATAGCTTGAATGTAACTCTACACCCTTGCCTCATTTAGTATACGCTGTTCTAGGAATATGCAAATTAGCCCCGCCTCCACTCACAATCACACGTTGACCTGATTGGTTACAAGGTAGTTTGTGACGTCAGAAACACCAGCGATTTCAAACCACGTTTTTGAGGCCATCTTTGGTTCACTGCAATTTTAAGGAGAAAGTACTCAGCACTGGTATGGACTTAAAGTGCCCCTATTATGGATTTTTGAATAATGACCTTTCCTTTCATGTAGTGTGTAACATAGCTCTAAGTGAATGAAAACATTCTGCAAAGTTTCAAATCTGAAAGTGCACGGTACATAAAGTTATAGTCTTTCAAAAGTTAACTCTATGGTTTTTCAAATGAGTCATAAGCCGTTTCGTTGCGATGTCAAGTCGAAACATTAGTTTCCACTTATTGTGCGTGCAGACACCAGAGACGACTATTTTAATGACGACAAAGCAGGATTCGCAAACCGCTCTTGAGTTTGATATTGTGTAGGTCTCCTGCTAACCTGTCTCCTATTCGGGTTGAATGACTAGTCTTCCAGTGTTTCATCATCGGTGTATAGGAAGCCTCAGTATGAGCAGAGCTGATGTTGTTATGGAAATGTTTTTTTTTTTTTTTTGACACACAGAACAGACTGAGCTGTCTGGTCTATCAGAGCAGAGTAGCTCGCGGAAAGGAGGGATTTAGAGAGATTGATTCATCTGACGAGTCGTTTGAGAATCATTGAAAATGTGGTGATGTGCAAATATGAGAAAATGAAATCGTTTTTTGACCTTTGATACATGTAAACCTGTTGTAGGAGACTCCAAAACAACATTAGCAAACTTTAAAATAGCATAATAGGGGCACTTTAAGACAAACCATATTAAAAACACCACATAGACATACAAACAACATTAAAAGCTTGATTTTTACCACAGGGGAACTTTAAAATTTCTGAAGCTGGGTGCACTGTACCTACAGGAAAGAATATCTTTCAAAATTCTTTTCTATTGAATTTCGTATCCCTCAAAATCGAATGTTCGAATGGGCAATTTAGCACAAACTGTTGGTTATTTAATAGCCATTGTGGACTTCACTGAAATGCGATTTGAGTTTTACCACAAAATCCATTACAATAATGGTAGTTAAAATTCATCCGTAGGTCCAGGCACGCATTACTTTAAATGCGTCAAATTATCCAATGTCTTTGTAACATTCAGATTCAGGCTCTTGGCTGGATAAAGGAAAATCATGTGCTCAGTCAAGTTATAGGATGTCAACTTAAGCGCTGAGAACCACAATGCTTTCCATTTTGTAAAATGGAGAGGGCAATCAATGCTTTTTTTTTAAAATAAGATTCAATGCCAGCATATCTTGATGAGGGATATTATTCTTAAAAGAACAACAGCAATTTCATATTTATTTATTATATTATATTGTAAATCAGTGAATACTATAATATTGCCATATTTTTGGCAGACTTGATGATTAGTCTTTATCTGAAGTCTGGCAATAAGGTCATGACTATAATTATAAGTGTAATGACCATACTTCAGCTCTTTGCAATATAACGCCCATGTATAATGTAAAAATAAATGGACATCCATGTAAAATGAAAAGTCTGGATATAATACATTTTAAATTACATTTGCAACTGTTGCACACAGGCATTCTTAACCTCAAATGTAAAAAAAATAAACATTTTGCAACTAAACATTTTGCAATAAACAATGCAAAGAGAATGATAAAAAAATCCTTCCTTTTTGTTACACTAAAACATAAGCAACTATGTGTTTTAAGAAAGGTAAATATAAATGCAAAATCAATGTGAAGTCGTAAGCTAGACCTAAACAATTCAGAAATCCATTTGAACATTCACCCCAACTCTTCCATATGGGGAAAAACCAATGCAACATTTTATTTCTAATTAAAACTCTTAAAATTTGACCATTTATCGATATAAAAAATGGTCTCCATACAAACAAGCAAAAGTATAGAGATCTTTGTGGTGGTCAGTCTATTCCTACTAACCTCCGTGGTCTTTTCGTGAAGGCCGACCAGCAGGGGTCAGTTTAGTCTCCTTGCATCATTCTTGAGATCAGGCGTGCTCAATCCTGCTCCAGCAGAGTTTAGCTCCATCACTGATCAAACAAACAAGAACCAGTTCATCATTTCTTAAGGATAAAAATTACAGTCAGGCGTGTTGTGTCTGCAAAGATGCACTCAAACACTAAGAAACTCAATAGCATGAACTTTGGGATCTCAGAGGTTCTACTCTTTTCTTCCTAGGTAGCAAGGAGGCCGCATTTACCTACGCCATCACGGCAGCAGGTGTTGCCCACTCTGTGACAGCAGCATGTAGTCAGGGCAACCTGAGCCACTGCGGCTGTGACAGAGAAAAGCAGGGCTATCACGACCAGGAGGAGGGCTGGAAATGGGGAGGCTGTTCGGCAGACTTGAAATATGGAGTGGAGTTCTCCAAACGCTTCGTGGATGCCAGAGAGATTAAAAAAAATGCAAGGAGACTAATGAACCTGCACAATAACGAAGCAGGAAGAAAGGTATGAAAGAAAGCAAGTTGTATAAACTGTATGTACATATACAGGGGTTGGACAATGAAGCCTGGTGGACAATCTTCACTGATTTTACATTACATTGTAAGAGCAGAGTGTGAATGTTGAATTAGCAGGGGCCAGTTGTTTACATTTAATCTGGATCAAAATGATCCGGATTCGGAAATCCCATTTTTTCCGTTTTACTTTTATGCCGGTTTTTCAAAGCAACATTGGACTGGATCACCCTGATCCAGATACACAGTTTTCAAGATTACCAGTGCTCTAAATGGGACAACATATCACAATGTGGGCTACCAGCTATGTAAAGAACAGGTAGAAGAGCCAACATGGGGTCACTGAAAGTGTTTCTTATTTTGAGGCAAAACACAAATGTGGACAAGATAATTTTTATTTTATTTTTACTTTACTATACTGAATAGCTTAATTGTTAGCTTGTCTACTTTATCACTGTTAAATAGGTTACACAATCAAATGCAAAATATAAATAAAAGTATATATACTAAATGATACAAATGTATTATTTGACCAATTTTAAAGTTTTACTACATTTTCTTACTGAAATCCACCTTGGGATCAGGATAATCCTGGTTTTTTTTTTGATCAAATTTATCCAAATCCCACTGACAAGTTTTGAACACAAACTGAAGGTTTGATCCCGATTAAAACTAGGATTGGATTCCCTGATCTAATCTGATTTCAGATTCCTTCTTTCCCTTTTTTTTTTTTTTGAACAACCCATTTTCAAAATTTGATCCAATCCGATAACCAAAATCCGATCAGCTTACCTTTGAACAACTGGCCCCAGAGTATTAAATATTGCAATCCACACAGCATAATAAGAGACAGAGTTTGAAAGTGGACGAATTGTTGGTGCGTGTCTCGCTGGCTCATCTGTGACCAGGACACCAAGTCTTTGTGGTGTATCGAGTGCTATATGGTGTCCAGGGTAACGTCGGCAAACCACCGCATCCACAAGGAGTAACTGTTGACACAAGAGGAAGCTGTCTGAAAGGGATGTTCTGGTACTAACCCGGATTGTATCCAAAAAAATATACCGTAAAACCACCACCGCCCAACTCGCTGCAGAACTAAATGCGTACCTTGACTTTCCTGTTTCCACCAAAACTGTTTGTCAGGAGCTCCAGAGAGTCAATATTCATGGTCGGGCTCCTATAGCCAAACCTTTGGGCACTCGTGCCAATGCCAAATATCAGTTTCATTTGTGCCAACAGCACAAATCTTAGGCTGTGGACAATGTGAAACATGTATTATTCACTGATGAGTTCACCTTTACTGTCTTTCCCACATTCGTGAGAGTTATGGTGCGCAGAAACCCCAAAGAGGCATAGCACCAAACTGGTGGATTAGTTATGGTTTGGGCTGAAATGTCATGGCATTCCCTACTGTGCTTGATGGGTGCGTCACTGCCAAGGACTACCGAACCATTCTGTAAGACCAATGGAGGGAACATTGTTCCCATGTATCAGCATGATAATGCACCAATACACACAGCAAGACTTGCGACAGTGGTTTTATGAACATGAAAGAGAAGCTGAACATCTCCCATGGCCTGCACAGACACCAGATCTTAATATTTCTGAGCCACTTTGGAGGAGCAAGTCATATAGTGACCTGGACACTGTTCTGGAAGAGGAATGGCTCAAAATACCACTCTGCAGGATTTGTGTCTGTCATTCCCAAAATGAATTGATGGTGTATAGGCCACAAAATGACGCCCTACTACACCATAAAAATGTTTGTTGTCTAAAACCAGGTGTTAACGTTTCATTGTCCAACCCCTGTATATTTAAATGAAACAATTGCCATGTTTTCATGTGATTTACTCCATTTAACCATGAATAGTGATCCACTGCTTTTAGAAAGAGGGATTAAAGAGTTAGTGGGAAAAAAAAACATAGGAACATTACTACTGAATCTCAAATTCCTCTCACTGAAGGGGAATATTAACATTGAACTAAACGGGTAAATGTCAACTATCACGTACGTCTGTCTGTTGAACATATCAGTAACACATCAAACAGCCGAATAGTTCTGCTTTTAACTCAAATGTAACCATATACATAAATGGGGACTTGAGAATTATGGACATTTCTCTCGTACTTTGATGTGGCCCTTCGGAAGGTAGAGAAAATTACAGGGTATGATTTGGCTAAAACAGATTTTTTCCTCTCAGTTTCGACATAAATCTGGCATCGCGCATTGAGACATTGCTCAGGACGTATTGAATAATGGCTTTTGGTTCAAATTGCTGAAAACCGTCAAAATAAAATGTCAAGAATTTCCCTTACCCGTCAGCTGCACAAATTCACTCGCACCACAGATTCGGAGGCCTCTGATGAAGTCATGCCTATTGTAAAAGACTATGTGAGTTTCACCAGCAAATAAAACACAGATTTGCCCAATATACATGTATAGTAAAGTTAATAACATTTAAATTACATTACCTCTCATTTAGATGAACGTAACAGTTTTTGTGATTCTACTGCTGCAGGTTCTAGAGGAAAGGATGAAGCTTGAATGTAAGTGTCATGGCGTCTCCGGCTCATGCACCACAAAAACCTGCTGGACGACTTTGCCGAAATTTAGAGAGATTGGCTACGTGCTTAAGGAGCGTTATACCACTGCGGTGGAGGTGGAGGCTGTGAGAGCCACGCGTTTTCGTCAACCCTCCTTCTTGCGCCTCAAGCAGTCCCGTGGGTACATGAAGCCCACTGACACAGACTTGGTTTACTTGGAGCGTTCACCCAATTACTGCGAGGAAGACACTGCGACGGGGAGCACGGGAACGAGAGGGCGCCTGTGCAACCACACGTCTCCTCACACAGACGGCTGCAACCTGATGTGCTGCGGCCGAGGCCACAACACCCATCAGTACACACGTGTTTGGCAGTGCAACTGCAAGTTCCAGTGGTGCTGCTTCGTTAAGTGCAACACCTGCAGCGAAAAGACGGAGGTGTTCACCTGTAAATGAGTTGAAAAGACAAGAAAGAAAGGAAAGAAGCCTATGGAGAGAAACGGGAAGTGTTTGAAAGAAAGATGGAAGTGTCGAACATATACACGGCTTCGTTTTGCACACCAGGCAGTCTTTATGCGAGAAAGGCCATTGCCGAGGGAGATGGGGGTGAATAATGAAGATCCTGGAACTTTAGAGGAAAATGCACTGACTTCAGACCGACTGTTTTGGGATTTCATTCGAACATGTGGACGCTACAAATGCAGTGCAAGGCTTTCGTAGTTCTCAGATGCTCGCAGACTTCAATAAGATCACCTGAGGCCTGTCCTGACTCAAAAATCGGACAGTCTAAACTGCCCACAAAAGTGACTTTTTTTTTTGTTTTAATTAAAGAAAGCTTATTACAAGACAACTTGTAAAAGACATGTAAAATGTCCCACCAGTTGAATCCCTATGGGAGCTCAAGAGGAAAGACTTGCTGCAACTCTGGAAACGCTGGAAAGCTTAAAACGTTCGGTCACACTGTATTGTATCTGTTTGAACACTGAAAAAAAATCCCTTTTTCCTTCTGTTTGGAGAAAAAGACTGAAAATGTTCATACTGTAGTTGTCTCATAGTGGTATACAGAGGTTTGAACTTCTAATATCATTGCTACTGATCTGTTGCTTTCAAAATCCAACCCGAAACAATACAGGACATTGCTAAAAAGAGCTTCTTTAACCCTGCATTTCTTTTGCAGTTGATCGATATCGATTTTTTTTATGCGGAGAGAAGCTTCCTTAGTCATACAGTATCAAGACTTGGCTATGTATGCTCTATTGTTTTGTCTTCAAATTTGTGTGCGTCTAACCATGTGTGGGAACATAAGAGAGCTTTCGAATACTTCATAGAACTGCAATGTGACCCACCACCATTTGAGTGACCGACCATTCCCACGAATGCCAGAGACATGGGATTCCACATCACTGGTCCGGCGTGCACAAGGTCTAGTTATATTCCGCCTGAACCAATGGACCATACAGCTATGGATCTGAAAAATGGTTAAAAGGTCACTGGAAAATATTTTGAGTAGCAACATTTTTTTTTTTTTAATCTAAATTGTTTATACGAGTTATATGGCTGGCAAATTTGTTAAAATATATTTTTTTATGTAGAGAATATGGCACTTTATGTCAGGTATGTTCAGAGTAATTATTAATACTATTTTCCTTGTCATATATTTTAATGTTTAATTGGAGATTTACATTTTTTTTGTCCTGATTTAATTATGTAAAATGTTTTTTTTTTGTATTATTATTATTATTATGACTTTTATTTTTCCTGAGCTCCCCATAATTGCCTTCTCAAGTTTGATATGAAACCATCTCATCTTTTTGTAGCCTGGTTGTATTTATACTTTTTTTTTTTTTTTTTGGAAGAGATGTACAGTAAAATCAATAGATTAATAAATGAATCAAACCGTTTGGATCAAACACATTCAACTGTGTTAATTTAAATTCATGGTTATAACCAAGCAAAATGTTGCTAAACACGTCAACCTGTTTTTTGATCGAAGTTTCTTCCCAGATGCACGGAGTAGCTCGCAGTCGTGACTCGTGTGGTGTAGATACTGCGAAACGCTGATCTCGGAGCGACACGGGGATGCTCCCGCCTGGGTTTGAATAGGCATCGGACCTGGCTCATTCATTCACCCGCCGTACGCTCTCTGCCCCTCTGGTCTTTTTCCTGTGTGTGAAAAGCATTGCAGGCAGCCACCGGAGCAGAAGTAAATAGGACCTGTTTTGTTAGCTGTCTGAACTGCTGGGTACCGGAACCGCGTAAGCTCCCAACACTATACCCCGGATTGAGAGAAAAGTCAACCCAATTGTTTCGCACAAACATTTTGTCATTAAAAAATATGAGGCAGAAAAAACAGGGTGTTGTGGGGAGAGTAAAGGCCTCCATTGAGGGGTATTAAAGCTACAGGGGTGTGTGTGTGTGGACCACTCAGCTCATTCCAGGACAGGATGGGGTGAGATATGATTCTGCAAGCTAATACTTCTGGTCTGATTCACTTGGGACGAAAACTAGATAGCTACAAGGGCAAAAAAAAGAGTGGTGTGGGATGGACCAAGAGAGAAATAACCGAGCACTGGTGTCCGAAGTAGATTAGGCTAGACAATAAACATACATCACGATAAATAAGAATACAAGGACCCTCTTCCTAAAATATAAAAGCATTTTTTCCTGTGTAAAGTATGCAGAGTATATATTACAATAGTGTATACATACACTCACCAGCCACTTTATTAGGTACGCCTTTGCCTTCAGAACTGCCTTAATTCTTCATGACATTGATTCAACAAGGTGCTGGAAACATTCCTCAGAGATTTTGGTCCATTATTGACATGATAGCAGAACGCAGTTGCTTCAGATTTGTCAGCTGCAAATCCATGATGCCAATTTCCCATTCCACCACATCCCAAAGGTGCTCTATTGGCTTGAGATCTGATGACTGTGGAGGCCATTTGAGTATAGTGAACGCATTGTCATGTTCAAGAAACAATTTGGAAATTATTTGGCATTGGAGTTTTGTGACATGGCACATTATCCTGCTGAAAGTAGCCATGAGAAGATGGGTACACTGTGGTCGTAAAGGGAAGGACATGGTCAGCAACAATACACAGGTAGGCTGTGGCATTTAAACAATGCTCAATTGTTACTAAGGGGAAAAATATCCCTCACACCATTACACCAACACCAGATGCCTGAACTGTTGATACAAGGCAAAAATGGAGCCATGCTTTCATGAATGTCGCAGCAGAAAATGTTCTCATCAGACCAGGCAACGTTTTTATAATCTTCTATTGTCCAATTTTGGTGAGCCTGTGCGAATTGTAGCCTCAGTTTCCTGTTCTTAGTTGACAGGAGTGGCACCTGTGTGTCTTCTGCTATAGCATATCTGCTTCAAGGTTCGACGTGTTGTGCGTTCAGAGATGCTTTTCTGCATCCCTTGGTTGTAACAAGTGGTTATTTGACGATTGCCTTTCTATCAGCTCGAACCAGTCTGGCCTCTGGCTTCAACAAGGCATTTCAACTTGCAGAACTGCTTCTTACTGGATACTTTCTCTTTTTCAGACCATTCTCTTTAAACCCTAAAGATGGTTATGTGTGAAAATCCCAGGAGATCAGCCGTTTCTGAAATTCTCTGACCAGTCCATCTGGTACCACCAACAATCACAACATGTTCACTTAAGTCACTTAAATCAACTTTCTTCCCAATTCTGAGGCTCAGTTTGAACATCAGCAGATTGTTTTGACCTTGTCTACAGTACATGCCTTGATGCATCAAGTTGCTGCCTTGTGATTGGCTGATTGGATATTTGCGTTAAATAGTACTTGAACAGGCGTACCTAATAAAGTGGCCAGTGAGTGTATTCAATAGTATATCCTATATATCCACTTGTTAATAATTTAAGTTTATGGTAAAACATGTAAAATGAATACTGCATTTTTTTAAATTAAAATAGAAATGAAAATCTATTTTGACAGTAAACATTTTTACATAGCCTACACAATTAAAAATAAATTACATATTAAGCAGCACAACTCTTTTCAACATTGATATTAATTAAAAATATATATTTTTTGAGTATGGTCACAGGAATAAATTACATGTTTATATATATTCAAATTGCAATAATATTTTGCAACCCTGTTTTACTGTATTTTTGATCAAATAAATGCAGCCTTGGTGAGCACTAAGGACTAATTTTCAAAAACATTAAAACGTATTACCAAGCCCAATCTTTTGAATGGATACTGTTAAAAAAAAATGTTGCAATTTTTGTCTCCTAAAGGCCTGTTCAAACCGGGACGAATTTCGCACGCGTTTTTCGCCGACGTTTAACGCCTTGTGACTAAACAAAGGGCGCCAAAGTGAGTGTTCACACACCGTCGCGTAAAACGCATAGACAGTATAAAAAGTGGACAGAGCGATCTCATTGGAACTCCATTGAGACAATTGAAGCCCGTTTTTGGCGATTTTTAGGCACTTCCGTCCCTGACTCAAACAGAGCTTGACGACGTAGATGTGAACCCGTCTGTCTTCTAGTGCTGTGGCATGAGAAATCTGAATCATTTCCTTCTGAAACTCGCAGAGGTGGAGAGTGAGTAGGAGCTGTCCATGTATTCTGATTCATTATTTTGTCATTTTGCCTCCACGTTTCCCCGATTGCCCGTGAGCTTCTCCTCCTGTCCATACGGTAATCTCTCTACTCTGCGACAGAGAGTCGCGTGGGTATGACGCAATCATTAGCCTACTTTACAAAAAACTGCTTCTACGGGGCCATAACATACGTTACAAGGTAATGGAGCATTTTATACATTGTCCTGTTTCTTTAGAAATAAATAAAGGAAAAATGGGGTCTTCAAACGCCTCAGATGTAAAGTTATTCGCCGTCAAAGTGACGACAAAATGAATGGGAGTCAACGGGATGCTAACGCAAGTAAAGTTCTGCTACAAGATGGCAGCTCCCGCGAGGCTTCAACTTTATTTGAAGCCTCAAAAGAAGCCTCAAAAAAAGTTGAAGGCTTCAACTTTTACCCAAGGGGATTAAAACGCCACGCGTAAAAGCGTCATTTTTAGAAAAACGCCTCGGGTTCGTTACTTGTGTGTTTGACGCGCCGCGTCAAAAACTATCCGACCAATGAAATTGGCGCTTTTGCTCAAGTGTTTGGAGCTTCTGAAGAGACAGTAAAACACAACTTGGGGGCGCTCAAACACAAAACAGTCTTGCCGAGCACACATATGCAACGGCGAAGAAGATCTACGCGTCGCCAAAGCCCGTCGTCGCTGTCTACACAGCCAGGAAGAAATAAGACGAGGAGGAAGAAATGTAGAGCTGCTGTTCTCGTTGGTGCTAGAACATAAAGAACTATATGACAAACGTGACAGGGACTACAAACATCTTGATAAAAGATAACTGTTATGGAGTGGTCTTGCATGGCAAATGGTCGCCATCTAATGTAAGGGAATGAATTTGCATGTTCACTCGGCTCATCGTCAGCGAAAAACGCTTGGGCGTGAACACAAAAAACGCGTTGAAAAACGCTGACGAATAACGAGCGCTGATATTCGTCCCGTTGTGTACGGGCCTTAAAACTGATCTAGCTGTTTTTGAACACTTCTCTGCGCTGCACGCTTTCAGTAAGCGTGGCTTATAGTAGGAGCTGAGGTTGCACTGACTGCACACTCGCATAACCATGAGGGTGGAATTACGGAATGTACACACAGGTAATTGCGTCATTTTTATTTTACTGCAATAATTGCACTAAATTAACGTGTTAAATAGACAATCCTACCATACCGTAATGTCCATCCAAACTACACGTGAAGCTTGTTCGGACAAAAGTGGAATTTGTAAAATAGGATGGCTTTGTAATCAAACCCGATTTAAGCACAAAAACTTGAGAGCTTTCAAAAAGAAGGATCCGAGTCTCACGGCTATTCAGAGGCGAACTTTATGTGTACAGATCAAGAGGCGGCCTGGTCTCTATAAAATTCAGTGAATTAGGGATTAACCTCTACTCCCTGTTGGTCACCAAAGTCTCTTTAGTGGCTGAAAAGCCAGGAAGACACGGTTCTCCTTGTTTCATAGGATTTGAATCCCACTTTGGCGGGGGAGTTGGAATCAAAGACCACTAAATGCATCACAGACATCAGCATGAGTTCTCTCAGATAAGCTCCTCTGATTGATTTCCTCTTGTGTGGAGAACACAAAGCCCAGACACCCCCTTATGCTCCCAACTACTGATTGGATATTTAATGACCCCAGTGTGGGCGTTTTAAGCCACTTCCAGAGTGTAATATAGCATAGTTAAGGGGTGTAGGAATGGGCGTCACGGGATAGCATTCTCCCAGCTCCACTTAATCAACTATGGGTCCTTCTTCAGGGGCCTAAGGAGTAGATTGCCATCCCTTTCTTCCACTCTGAGGCCCATGTCCTTGAGCATTGTGTCATCTGCCACACCTTGTCTCCGAAGGCTTTGTATGAGCTTCTGATTCTCTAGGTTGTGTTCCAGGATGTTCCGAATGGCAAACACGGCCCACTGGCTTATGACTGGCAGGAAAATTAAGGAAAGTTATTATATCAAACATTTAATCAAGAACAAAAACTAGATTCTATATTTTTGGATGAAAATGTAATCCCGTGCATACTCTCTCTGTAAAGGGGCTGTCGGCATGATGCTGCAATGAGGTCTCTAAGGTGTTTTTTGGAGCTATGAGGTTGTCCGGGTGTTCGTATTGCTTTCATACTGGCCCAAGCCACAAAAAGCCCAACCCTCCATGATTTTCTGGTCTCTAGATATGGCTCAGGTCCCAACTTCAACATAATTCTAAGGCCCCGTCCACACTACTGCGTTTTCGTTAAAAAAACGGAGAATTAACCGCTGGTCCACACCAGCG